TTAATTTATCCACATTGGAGGACTATTTTGAAGCCTTTGTATCAATATCAGAATTACTATTATTGACAGAAATTATGAAGACTCTTGTAAAACAATTTATTTTTTTTCTGTAAATCTACAACTATCGAAGTTTTAGATTCACTTGGATCAAATTTCATTAAAAAAAAAACTTGGGTACATTTTCTATTGGATTTTAAGTTATCGAAATTTGAAAAAATAGCATCACGTTATTCAATTATCTAAATAACCTGCATCTATTGCCTTAATAGTAATTCATGAGTTATTTTCTCCCAACTTTCTAATGGGATCATAAGTCACATTAAAAATCGTCTAACTTCATGAAAGGCAGTGTTTTACGGTGGACATTTAGTGAATCTAGTCTGATCTGTTCCTGAATTTCTTTGGATTTGTGGCTTTCTGAAGTCCTCATGCCTACTTCATGGTTATTAGATCAGTTCTGGGTGTGAAACTGAAAGAAAAGTCTGATCCCTTTAATTCTAGATTTATTAGAACAATTCTGATTTAAATTTCCTTTAAAGCTTAATTTAAATCAGATATTGTGTTTGCTGAGCATCTGAGGTAGTTTTGTGTCAAATTATCTGTTGATTCCACATCGTCCCTTTGTGTTGTCCCTGCAGGCGATGGCTCGTGATGAGAAGAACTACTACCAGGACACGCCCAAACAGATCAAGAGGAAAATCAACGAGTACAAGCGCTGCCACCAGCAGCACTATGAAGCCTTTATGAGCTCACTGTCAGCTCCGCAGCCCATGGACCAGTAGGAGGACCGGATCTGGGAAAGAACACTGGAGAACATGGACAACTGGGGCTGATGAACCAGCAGCAGCTTTTCAGTTTTTATTGTGTTGGAGGAATATTTACCTGATCTTACTTTAAAAGGCTCCCAGTGCTGGACAATGTTTTTCTTTTTCTGTTATGATATTGAAGTCATGTCTCCTTTGGGTTGGTTAAGCTAATAGCAGCTGAGTCACGACTTCTCTAGATCTCAAACAGCTTCAGAATCCTGACCTTTCTGCTACCATAAGCAGACCTGAGGACAGGGAGACTAGATGGTTAGACATAAGCTAGATGCCATTTGTCTGCAAGAACATCAGCAGGAAGCTTTATTGGAAGCTGGTGGTGATTGAGGGAGAAAAAAAAACATTTAAAAAAATAACCTTCAGTCATTCATAGGTGTACAGTTCCAATGCAAGGTTTTGGAATGAGGAAAATTATGAATTTGAGGAATCATAATCACTTTATTTTGCAAAAACAGATCTACAGGTGCTGGTCATAAAATTAGAATATCATGAAAAAGTAGATTGATTTCAGTAATTCCATTTAAAAAGTGAAACTTGTATATTATATTCATACATTACATACAAACTCATATATTTCAGATGTTTATTTTGTTTAATTTTGATGATTACAAATGACAACAAATGAAAATCTCAAATTCATCATATCAGAAAATTAGAATATTGTGAAAAGGTTCAAAATTGATGGCCCCTGGTGCCACACTCTAATCAGCTAATTAACTCAAACCACCTGCAAAAGCCTTTAAATGGTCTTTCAGTCTAGTTCTATAGGCTACACAATCATGGGGAAGACTGCTGACTTGACAGTTGTCCAAAAGACGACCATCGACACCTTGCACAAGGAGGGCAAGACACAAAAGGTCATCGCTAAAGAGGCTGGCTGTTCACAGAGCTCAGTGTCCAAGCACATTAATAGAGAGGCGAAGGGAAGGAAAAGATGTGGTCGAAAAAAGTGTACAAGCAAGAGAGATAACCGCACCCTGGAGAGGATTGTGAAACAAAACCCATTCAAAAATGTGGGGGAGATTCACAAAGAGTGGACTGCAGCTGGAATGAGTGCTTCAAGAACCACCACACACAGACGTATGAAAGACATGGGTTTCTGCTGTCGCATTCCTTGTGTCAAGCCACTCTTGAACCACAGACAGCGTCAGAAGCGTCTTGCCTGGGCTAAAGAGAAACAGGACTGGACTGCTGGTGAGTGGTCCAAAGTCATGTTCTCTGATGAAAGTAAATTTTGCATTTCCTTTGGAAATCAAGGTCCCAGAGTCTGGAGGAAAAGAAGAGAGGCACTTCATCCACGTTGCTTGAAGTCCAGTGTAAAGTTTCCACAGTCAGTGATGGTTTGGGGTGCCATGTCATCTGCTGGTGTTGGTCCATTGTGTTTTCTGAGGTCCAGGGTCAACGCAGCCACATACCAGGAAGTTTTAGAGCACTTCATGCTTCCTGCAGCTGACCAACTTTTTGGAGATGCAGATTTCATTTTCCAACAGGACTTGGCACCTGCACACAGTGCCAAAGCTACCAGTACCTGGTTGAAGGACCATGGTATCCCTGTTCTTAATTGGCCAGCAAACTCTCCTGACCTTAACCCCATAGAAAATCTATGGGGTATTGTGAAGAAGAAGATGCAATACACCAGACCCAACAATTCAGAAGAGCTAAAAGCCACTATTAGAGCAACCTGGGCTATCATAACACCTGAGCAGTGCCACAGACTGATCGACTCCATGCCACGCCGCATTGCTGCAGTAATACAGGCCAAAGGAGGCCCAACTAAATACTGAGTGCTGTACATGCTCATACTTTTCATGTTCATACTTTTCAGTTGGCCAACATTTCTATAAATCCTTTGTTTTTATTGGTCTTCAGTAATATTCTAATTTTCTGATATGATGAATTTGAGATTTTCATTTGTTGTCATTTGTAATCATCAAAATTAAACAAAATAAACATCTGAAATATATGAGTTTTTATGTAATGTATGAATATAATATACAAGTTTCACTTTTTAAATGAAATTACTGAAATCAATCTACTTTTTCATGATATTCTAATTTTATGACCAGCACCTGTAGAAATAAGTTAGAATTCCGATAAAGTGTGCTCACCCTCAGTTTGGGCAGTTAAATAAGATCTTCCAATGGAATGTGTGTTTCTGCCCTTAAAATAAGGTTAGTAGTTATTTACTGAACATAATAGAGCTGGGGGTTTTTTCTTGTTCCATTCATAAATTGTCTTAACTTGTTATAATCAAAGGAATATACTATTTGAAATGAAACTGACTTGCTTGTATTTTGTTCAATGCCGTTTTCTGTAAAGGATGTAGGATGACATCATCACTCAGACTCGTCCCAGAAGATCTTTACTCTGATGTGTCTTTTAATTAACCAGAGCAGAGAAGATGGCAATGACCCAAAACATACCACCAAGGAATCGAAGGAGTGGCTGAAGAAATTCAGTTACTAAGCAACCTGAAGGATCCAGACTGTGTCTCTAAAACCTTTTCCTTAGAAATGGTTTTGAAGTTCCTCCAGAGAGGAGTTCAAACCCTGTCATGTTCTTAAAAACACGTCTGTTCCTCCGTTAACCCCAATTGATGCTTTAATTTTGGGGGAAAAAAAGTGATCAGTGACTTTTCTAAATACATTTCTACCTTTTATCTAATATGTTTTCTGCATTTTTTTTTTTATCAGATTGGCTGGAGAGCAAATATTCATTGCTAAAAAAAAAACTTTCTGAATCAGTTCCTGCATCACCTTTTTTATAAGCGTTCGGGGAAAAGCCAGTACCCACCTTATGAATATTTACAGGACACAGATTTTGTTGAGTTTTTAGCTTTCCCCTCATTGAACTCTAATAAACAGATTAAATTCACATACAGCTTGTAAAGATAAAAGTATTTCTCATGTCTAATTCTGCAGATTAAACCTATAAACACTTGTTACTGACTGGTGAACGGGACCTTAAATGTCACTAACATAGTGAATGATCTGTTTCAGTAATCGTATTTATTTACAATCTCTCTCTCTGACTGGGTCACGTTGGCTCCCTGCTGTAAAAACACTGACGTTTTTAATCTGAACGCTTCCTGTTCTACCGGTTGGAGAACTTTGCTCCAGGCCAGGTATGGAGCTCTATAGGATTTATCGGTTTGTGTTTGCATTGATCTGCTCTGGCGGCAGACAGAGGAAAAGTTGTTTACAGCCTCTCAGCCAGATAACTTATCACTTGTTGGGGCTTGATCCTTACATAACCAAACTTCCTGAGTGTCTGAGCTGTTCTCTGCTCCTCAGATGTTTACTTTTCTCCCAGTTCTATCTGGTTCGTGTAACTGCTGATCCTTGACTGGATCATTATAAAGTGGTCTGATAGGATACAGACATACTTATTCAAATAACGTTACTGCTTATACTGGCTTTCATGTTTATGGGTGGAGACCCTCCAGGTTTAATCTTCCTTTAATTCAGATCAGTGTCGCTTAAAGTAGTGAAGGTTGTCTTCCCAGTTTACATTAATTAGAATTGAAAGAATTTATAAAACAATGAGAACTCCAACCAGTTTTGATAAAATAACATTTTATTAGTTTCATCTGATCAAATTATTTTCTTGTGATGCCAAGATGAGAATTGATCTTCCAAAGACTTTATATCTTTCCTTTGGTTCTTTTAAAATGTAAAGAGATGCATCCTGCTAGGTGGTGGATAAGCTGCTGTCAATATTTCCTGTCAGTCTTTTAAAAGGGCATCAAATTATGTTATATATTCAAAACATTTTTTGATAATTTTTTTTTTTGATAATTAAACCCTCAAATTTAGTCTCAGAAAAAAAAAAGAATATTCCATGAAATAGAAGGATCGTTCAGGTAGACGACTATCAGGCCTTTATTTCTATGCACCCCAGTCATTGTTTGCACTCTTAAAAAAATGCATTCACTGGATGCTTTAAAACAAGTTTGAAAGGTAGCATTAGTTTAGTTTTTGTTTTTAATAGCGGCTCTGAAGATCTGTAACTCCCATTCCTACAAAAAAAATGTTATTTTAAAAGGCTTCAATACTGTTAATGGGTAAAAAGAAATATTAAATAAAAATATTTCTTTACTATGTTATAGTATTTTTAGCTTCATAACTAGCTTTTGCATTCTATTGTATTCGGTTTAGACAAAACTCAGCTTAATTGATATTCAAACCATTTCACTTTATTTAAATGACTTCTGTTAATATTCTGCATATGGAGGGAAGATTGATCAGTTTCATTTCAGACTGGAATATAGTCAAGTTTATTTAAACAAAAACATGTAACCAGCACAACATTTAGGAAGAGAAAACATCATGAACACTAAAACAGAAACCTATCTATTTTATAAATGACATTTTAGATGTGAGGCTGAGAATACACCCCCACCTGACCCATAAATTCAACCTGAATAATTTGGTTTACTGAATGGGGTGTAAAAGGATAATCTCAGCAATTTGTTGAAGAAATGATTGAAAACCTGCAAATGTATTAGGTTAATAAAGTGATTTATTTAGTGTAAAATTATTTAAATGTCTTTAGATTTTGGTATTTGTGTTGGTAGAACAAGTGGCGACAGAAACCTTTAAAGGAACATGATTAAATTAGAGTAAAATAAAAATATTTTGAGCATTTCAACAAGATCTCGGTTTAAAAATCCAACATTTGCTGAAATGGACATCCAACTAACTACTACTATTTTTCAATTAGTAGTAGTTAGTTGAATTTGAAATCTACATTTTGACCTTATTTGGATCAAACTTATTTAATTTTATCTTTTTTTTTTACTTAGTTTTAATCATATCTGTTTCTGGATGTTGAAAAACCACCAAGTTCAGAATATTATAGAATCTTTTTTAAAAAAGCCACTTAAAATCAACAGAAAAGACCAAAACCAACTATGTGTGAAGGACCAAGTTAACATTTTTACGTCCTTGCAGCCATAGTTTGGGATTTCTGCCAGTTTGTCCTTGAAGTCCATTCAGAACAGAACCTTCAGTGCTGCATGGAGTCCCAGTATAAACATGAAACTTGTGAGCTGCAGTGTTTAAGACTTTTAACAGCTTCACAGGAGTTCTGCACTTGAGTTCTTTCATAACTCCTGTTCATATTAAACTTCTTTTTGCAGCCTCTGGTTGAATATTAGATTCCTCTGTTCCTGCAGAGCACGTTTTATAAGCCTGAAAATCCTTTTAAATAATGTAAAGTGAACCATATTTTTTACAGCTGCTGCAGGGCTGTGCTGTAAAATGACAAAGAATAAATGTCACTGGGCTCCACTTTGAATCTCCATAAATAAAACACCAATACAGAAGTTGGTAATTATCCCCCAAGGGAATGATCTCATAGAACTTGTCATTTAGTTTACAGGCTGCTTAAGCTGATGAGTCTGAAAACTACATTTTCTCCTCACTTTTATCTCATTCTGCATAAATAAATCAAAAAGAAGAAGCAGCTAAAAATGTGCAAATGTGTTCAAATATGCAAGATTTAAAAAAACGACTCCTCCGTGAAGCTAGGACATTTTGACCTGATTGTATCAAAGCTTCCTCCTACTGTGTTCCTCCTCTTCCCCTGTTGGTATACCCACCCCATAGCAGTGGATTCTGATGTCTTTTCCTGCAGCTCATCACCTCTACTGCCTGAAACGAGCCCAGAGCTCCAACAAAAACAGGAGAACTGAGAACCGTGTTCTTAAACTCTACTTTTGGTTTAGTTCTCCTTTCGCCTCCGGTTGCAGAGGGATGTGAGATCAGACGAGCTGCAGGATGAGGTCCTGGACGGTGTCCAGACCCTGACGGGACCTCCTCTTGTCTCCCTCGGCGTCCAGCTGGGCAGCGAGTAGGAAAAGTTTCCTATCGTCAGTCAAAGCGTCCAGAGACAAGGCGTCATGGAGCTCTGCAACACTCAGGGCGTCATGCTTGTCCTGTGGGAAGCATGAGAAACAAAAGGAATGATGTTTTAATGAACATAAATCCCTAAAAGGTCCTTAATTATTCATGATCAAGGCATCGTTATTGATATCTCCAACTAAACGGAGGCATCTAAACCCCTATAGACCTCCATCTATAACCTGGTGTGACCAATAAATCCCATCTCTTCACCAGCACCAGTCCATATTAAAGCTCTTCTACAAGCAGTCATGTTTGTATTGCAGCCCTCCAACACGGTCCATTAAAGATTTAAGAGCTTCTGTAGATTTCTCCTTCCTTTTTAGTGAGTGCATTTTAATCAACACATGGGTTATTTCGTATTTATTTTACTTAAATAAGGTCAAACTTGAGCGAGGGAAAAGTACCACTTAGTGCTACAACCTTTATAAGTGTCTGACTCCAGTGATTAAAAACACTTCCCTGCCTTCCATTCACATAAACCAAACATTGTGTATAATAGTAAACTTTAATGTATAAAGTTCAATCTTTCCAGTAAAGCCTGGATGAAAAAAGGCTTTTCTGTTAATGTTTTATAAGTATAAGAAGTCTTCAGGAGATGTTCTGTCTGATCCACCTCATTAATTTCCCAGATAAAAGCAGAGAGGGAACAGTGTGTAGCTCACACCTGCAGACCCTTAGAGAAGCTGAAATTCTTCTGCATCATTACGGATCACTGGTGTAGCTGAGCTGAATTTATTCTTGGCTCATATCCTGCCAGTCCGAAGCACAGAGGGGATGAAAGCTACACTGCCTCCTTGCCTGATGTGATAAATATTCCTTCCTCCTGCCAGGAGTCGTGCATAATTCCAGAGGTGGAGCACTGGGTGAAGGAATATGAGGAGGAGGAAGTGTAGGCATGTTTATTCCAGGAGTTGGGTTATTTTAGCAGGATGGCTGAAATGACATGTAGCTACTTGATCATTGAATACTTTTAATCTAATGTCTGTGGGATTTATTGCAGACTCCCTATTGTAAAAAAAAAAAATTAAGACATTTACTCTGGATAGTTCAGTTCTTTCTGTAAATGACAGCTAAAAGAAGGAAAAGAAAAACATTTTAAAACAACAATCATTCTCTTAGTGTACCTGCTTGTTGCCCAAAACAACGACGGGCAACTGTGGCTGCAACCGCAGGAGGCGGTGCAGTTCGGCCTTCGCCAGTGGGAGGCGGCTCCTGTCAGACGAGTCCACCACGAACACCAGGATGTGAGTCCGTCTCAGGTAGTCGGACCAGTACCGCCGCAGGTCCTCACCGCCGCCAACTGCAGAGAAGAAACCTTTTCATTGCTATGCAGAAGCCTGAGCAGTCCAGACTGGCTCCGTCATCATCTGGAGCTACTCTGCCACAGCAGGAGAGGCATCAGCCTCCAGTGAGTTTGTGACTGTAGAAAGCTCTGGTCCATCCCACTACATCACAAGCACCACTAGTCCCTGATTGGTTAAAGCCATGCAAACTGACAGAAAATTTCAGATTTTTGAACTCGCACAATTTGTCCAATTCCCATCGCCAATTGTTAGCTCTCGCATGAATGTGCATTTACATCAGGATGACTTGAATTACTCGCCCTCATGTGAACACCTTAAGACTTTAGGAATACAGTAAAATGCAATGAGAGCCATTATTGTAGAAAAGTTCTGAACCTTCGCAGAAGATCTCTAAGGTAGTGTCTGGCCACCCTATGGAAGAAGCAGTAATGACCAAGATTGCATGACCAAAGATGAGGAAAGGAGCTTAGGCTGACTGGGTAAAGCGAGAGCTTCATCACAGACCTTTGCAGCGTCTGATTACTGAAGTAAGCACGTCCATCTGTCCAACTTCTGCTACATTCTCTCCTCACTCACGCAGAAGACCCCTAGGATAGGACCTGGAGAGGATATGCCACTCAAAGCACCCCACAGACGTAGGTCCTGGCCTAAGGGAGCCAGGTAAACCGTAGAAATCCTGTCAGTCAAAGTTAGGAACAGGCCTTGGTTGCAGATTCTCCTTCATGCACCAAGAAAAGCTTTTTGACCACATCAGTAACTTCGGCCTGGTTGATGAGTGACTCTCCAGTCTTTGCTTCCACTGGAGAAGCCATGATGGCAGGGTTGAGGAACTCCCCACGGTATTCCTTCCAATGCCTGTTTGCCATGCAAGACCTTACCAGAGGCATTTATGGCCAAGATGAAAGGGATCATCGAAATACTGAACCCCACTCCACTACGTCAAAGGTATAGAGGACGATATTTTATTTCCGGGTGGATCATCATTCTGGTGATATGTTTACGTAAGACCGTACTACTTGCTTGTCTCCAGTTAGCTATCTTTTTCCATGCATGCACACTTTCAGGCCTATATCTATGCTGAGCTACGGTTTCAGACAGTCATTGAAGCTCACCTTCTCCCCGCAGTTCTTTGAAAATGGCAGAGTCGTAAAAGAAAAAGTGTCTATGAAGAAAAGAAAGGCCTCAGAAGAGGCAGATATATCCCAGAATGCTTTGCATGCAATGCTCTCTTCAGAAAGAATTATGGGATTTGCTGTCACAACGGCCCGCCGTCGCCATAGGCTGCCGCTACCCAGCAGCGGCGACTAATAACAAAGATGATGCAGGCACCACGCAGTGGACCAAACGGGGAAGTGATCAGCTGTCCGAACGGTAAGTTTACTGAGTTCACTATATAGTCCACATTGCATAGTGATCGAGGACTTTAGGGTCTACTAATTTCTCACGACTAATTAAAAAAGATGGCGCAGGCACCGCATGGTGGAGGAGTTACATGACCAAAGAAGCAAAAAGTTTGAGGGTTCTGCGCAGTATCTTAGCTGTTCCTAGGACTGCGCTCTTCTGGACAGAGACCTCTGATGTTTTACCTGGAATCTGCTGTAGCCATTCTCCCAGTTTGGGGGTCACAGCCACCAGTGCTCCAATTACCACTGGCACCACTGCTGCTCTTACTTTCCACATCTTTTTTAGCTCCTCTTTCAGCCCTCTTTCAGTGATTGAGAGATTTAGAGGTTAGAGCGGACGTTCGGACACAGTAAGGTTGTATGAGCTATGGGAACAGAAATTTTTAAACAGAGCGCGCAAGAAAAAAATGAGCTCCTGCATGCTATTCCACGCGGCTGTTTAAAAGGCATTCTCCCGATAGTATCAAGGTGTTACTTTATTGTATCTCTTACAATATATTCGTTGGTTGTGCTGTTCTTTTTACATCTCTTTGCAGGTGATGAAGCAGACTAAAGCTGTTTTATCGTTAACTCCCCTTTATCTCCTCTTTCTTTCATCTTCTCTTTTTTTTCTGTTTTTCCTTTCCTGTTCTACTTACACTGCAGTGTCCATAAAATCTGTAATACTCCCTGCATTAATTATAATAATGCTATTTATATGCATTAATCAAGCGGAACACTATGGCGATAGCCGTACTTCTCCACTTGTGAAAGCAAAATCTGTTGGGCTCTCTTTTTGGCAACAAGACAATTATTGTTATTGCCACATCGCCAGACAGGACAAAATATAAATAAAAAATAAGGCATTCCCCCTCGGTAGCAGGTACAGGGTTGTACATGTGCATTTTTTTAAGTGGAGAGGACAAGGTTGTTTTTTTTTTAAATAACAAAAATCCTCCACAGTACCTTTAAGGATGGGAATGCTTTGGATATATTTTTTCCCCTGGTAAATGAAATCATTCAAAACAACTTTAAATTTTTACCTAACTAAAAATATTCGATCTGAAACATTTAAGTACGACAAGAAAAAGCAAATGTAGAAGAAATTCCTAATGTGGAGAAATGTGTTTTCGACAGGCTTGTTTATCAGATTTTTATCTGAAAGTGAGAGCAGCGGCAGATCCATTCAGCGATGCTGCAGCTTTGATCCCTTTTCATCCTCTGGGGCTTTCCTCTGGCATGTCTGTCAGCAGCGTTTACTGCTACAGGTTCCAGTTTAATAAAAAAACCCTGACAGTTTAATGCAGAACTAGATAAGCTCCTTTAAAGAAAATTGACACTGGATTTATTTCATTTCCATGCCAAAACGAATAAGATCAGATTTCAATAAAGGAGGCAACGAGCTAAGGCAGCATCCTTCATCTTAATGCTTCCACTCTGAGGAAATTGGTTTTGTAGGGAAAGGTTCATGGGGAAATCTTAGGTTAATCTCCCCTTTCTTCATTTAACGTTGTCTTTCATAAGAAGATTGGCTTTAAGAATTGCACAGATATTATTCTTCCTTTCTAGCAGAAACGATGTGGGTTAAACTGAGAACACCTCATTTATTCCTGAGCAGTGTTGCTGAATCTGTTTACAGAAACAGCAGCACCAGCATATTCGTGTTTCAAAGATGACTGGCTGGAATATGAAATGACTTCGACAGGTAAAATGTGACCCTTACAGAGAGCGTATGAAAGCATGCTGCAGAGCAGTCATGAGATTACAAGAGAAATCATGTTTTTTTTTTAGTCAACTGAAGAAAAGTTTCATAGCAACTAGAACTCTAACGTCCGAAGATGCTCAGTGGTCAAACTGATCGCTCGTCACACGCTGGCAGGCATGACTGTAGGTCCTCACTGGCAGAATCAATTAGAGGAGGTTGCTAGGATACTGGGCCGGGATGTAGCCAGGGCTGATGTGATGTGGCAGCAGTAAATACCTGCTCACCAGATGTGATGTGGAGTCTGGACATGCTGCTCAGCTGGGAGCTCAGCAAGGCGCTCGTCCTGCAGCTCTGCAAACCCACCCACATGTAAACACACACGATGCATTTACTGAGTCATATGGTTGTGAAGGAGGTGGGCGTGGGTTTGATGATGAAGGTCTCCGCAGCAGCTTGGTAAACCTTATAATGATCCCGGGAAGTGGTTAACATCAGCCTCGGCTGATAAAGTTCAGCATGTCCCGAATGGTTGGTTGTTGTGAGGGTTCTGTGCATCGCTGCAGAAACTTAAAAGGGTGAATGGAGAATGAATGAATTACAACGGGTTGGATTCTCATAAATATTTACAGGTTCTTATTGCAGCACACTGCTCTTTCTTTATGCCTTGAATTGGATGCAAAGTTCACCTGAGCTGAACTTTGTCACATTCCATGTATCCAAACTGGCTTCCTCTAAGATGACGTGTTTTTGTTTCCACCTGTTCATGCAGAGCTGATAGTGTTCTTCTCACATATGACAGACACTCAGCAGATGATTCATTGTAGGGTGCCAGTGTTAATTATTATTATATTATTATTTTTTCATTTACGTCACGGTTTTTAATTCAGTACTTTTCCAGTTTCAGAAATCCAAAACCAAAAAGTTGAGCAAAATGAATGTTAAAACCCAGGCATCACCCTAGCCTTACAGCTCAGCCATACTTTACAGCTGAGGCAATATTTAAACTTTTACAGACATAGAAGGTTTGACTTTATTTTATTCACTGTTTTGACATAAGCATAGATTATGCTTTTGCTCTTTCTACATTTGTTTCGGTTTTAAATTGATAATAAAACCTTTATTTTAAATCTTGAAATGATTTCAAATGTCATAATCCTTGGTTGAGACACAACCTTGGTATCAGAACATTGATGTTTTTGTCTACTTTCACTTAATGTTTCTCTACTTTCCATTGAACTTGTGCTGATTTGTCAAACTGCCCTAAAGTGCAAAAAATGCACTCTTTAAATCCCCAAATTTTCTTTGTATCATAAAAAAGGTTATTCATTATCTAATATATCGAATCAATATTATACTTAGAATTATTATTACGTGTCTGGAGATAATTATACCTGCAGGTGTTTATTTCAGGTTTTATCTGAAGTCCCTAGTGTGGTCAAAGGTTCCACCCTGATTAAAAACAAACTTATTATGATTTCTATTCATGTATTTTAACATGAAATATTTAGCTCAGATGAGCCTTTGTTGCTGTTTAAACTGTATGATGCAGGTAAGATGTTTTGGTTATTACTTGTAAGAATGATTTTGTGGATCTTTGGCCCTTACAGAAGGTGTAACACTAGCCTGCCTTAATTTTACACACATTATAAACTTTGCCCACAAGAATTCCTAATGGAAAAGGTCTTTACCTTCAGGCTATTCTGTAGCTAATTTGGTTGTATGATATTTTGAGACGTCATCCAACTGGAAGACAGTTAATCCAGTTTTAATTGCACTTTTTAAAGTGGCAGCACATTGGAGTAGTAATTCTAGCTTGAGACTGTTATTACTTTTTAAAGGTACTTCAGTTCTTTTGTTTGTGGATCAGTTTCTTTTTCATTATGCTTATTACCTCTGCTTTGGATGGTGTGTAGCTAAAGGTGTTTTTGCCAAACACATTTATGAAGAGAAACCATAGCAAACACAGCTATTTTTTTTTTGTACACCCCCAGAAGAGCTTACTCATAAATTAAAAGCTAAATCAATGCTTCAACTATTTCCGCAAGCCCCAGTTGAATTGAAAAGGTGCAGAGGATGCAGACCAGGAACAAAGGGAAGAGAGAGAGGGAAGACATTTAAACCATCTCTTCCAGAAAATCGTTATGGGCAATGTAGGAATTTCAGGAAACAAGTTAGAAGATAATCTAAGGAGCCTGGCAGAAATCAGGGATGTGGTAATATGTGTTTCACTGAAACATGGCTGCAGGATCATATCCCCATTTCCAGTGTCTCTCTGCCAGGCTTTCAGACCATATGGACAGACAGATTTAAATAAGACTGGAAAACTGCCGACAGTGCTCTAAACAACATGTGGTCCAGGGCATGTTACTGTTAAATTTCATCACTGCATCCCAGATAATGAACTGTTGGCAGTTAGTTTCCCTCCATATTATTTACCCAGAGAATTCACCAGTGTTTTAATTGTTTAGATTCCATTATCTGATGCTTTCAATGGCTGTGCCCAAACATCCCCCCCAACCCTAAATCACTATACAGAGCGGAGACTATATAGAAGACTTTATAGTGAATTCAGTTAACTGACCATTCGGACTGATGATCACTACTTTTCACTCCCCGTTGTTCACGTAACTCCTCCACCTCGTGGTGCCTGCGCCATCTTTGTTATTTGTAGCCGCTGTGGCAGCGGCCAAATCCCAAAATACTTTGTGAGGAGAGCCCTCACAAAGAATTTCTGGATATATCTGCTGTCTAGTGACCATGGATGTTCACTTTTTTTCAAGATGCATTGTGGGAAATTTCAAGTCCAATACTTTTTTATCCACTAGACGTTCAGACACTTATTAAAAGTAGTGCCCTATATAGGGATCAGGGCAGACATTCGGACACAGCCTATGTATGTTATGCCATCGGTTCTGTTGTTGCTAAGCTACAGACACAACATCCAACTGCATTTCAGGCAATAACTGGTTTATTCCTCACTCTCTGCTTCACTTCCAACATTTCAACAGCTTCAATGCTGCTGTACCAGAGAAAACAAAACTTTGGACTTGTTGGACATGCAAATGTCAGTTACTCACATACTATATCTCTATAGTAAGACCTCATTTTAGGAAGGAATAAGAGGCAACCTGCATTAAAGTGATCTGTAAGATATTAGCCAAAGGAAGCTAAATAAACCCTGTAAGTTTGTTATGCGGCTACAGACTGGGATGTACTGTGTTAGCCAATATGTCACTTTATTTAAAGGCAGTAGAAATAAAATAATGACTTCATTAAGTCTAATTACTTTAGGGTAAAGCGCAAATATAACTACACTTTGGAATCCTGCCTCACCTAAAAGGGAAACTTTGGATTTATTCTCCATTTTTTTCATTTAAAATGAGTGATAATTTATTGAAGAGCCTGAATCTCATCTGATGCTTTAAACAGTTTATTGCAGCATTACGAGGCTCTCACTTTTACTCAAAGTTTTTCCAGGATTCCCACAGAGATTAAACCACCCACCAACCTACCTCTGCTTCAGCGTCACAGAGACAATACTCTGACATTTACCGCTTAGCCTCTGAAGTACTCTGAGTGGGTGTCGTCGTGAGTTCCACTCACCAAGATGAGAGACCGATTAGATGTTGAAATGGTGAATAAATCAGCAGCCAAGCATGAAGCATTCCTCAGAATCCCTCTGCTGAAACTTAGTTTGAGGCCTCAGCGTTTCACGGTCCTGTCATACTGAATGAAGTCATTATTTAATTTCTACTGCCTTTAAATAGAGTGATATTATTCTGGGTTTAGAGAATCAGACACAGCATAATTGGGCCTGTTCTAGTTTTTGATCAAATAAAGGCTGTGATGTTCTAAACAGAGGGGTGATCTTATTATTTTATGCTCTTAAAACAGAAATCCAGACAGATAAGGATGAAAGTCTTACTCTCCAGAAAGCCAAGCTGACAACTATTGGCGTCCAGGCTCATGAAGTTGAAGCCGCGGGTGGGCCGGCACCGGCCCCTTTTAGCTGCGGACTCCCCAGGGTTCAAACCCTGCAGCATGCTGCTCTTTCCGGCTCCATCCAGGCCCAGAACCAGAACTTGCCGCTTCTCCTGCTCCTCCTCCTCCTGCAGCAGAGCAAATCGAGTCAAAAAATCAGACAAAGCATGATGCTGAGTAAATGGAATACATTTATAATGCATTTTTCTAGTCCCTCCAGCTTCTGAAAGTGCTTTATACTGAAGACATATTCCCCCAATCACTCTCTGGAAAGCAAACACATTTATGCAACCATCTACACTTATGTAAGGCCGCTGGGTTACGTGCCTTGCTCCGGGGCACATCAACATGACAGGAGGAATTAGGAACTAAACCAATAACTTTCAGATCTCAAGAAGAGAACTTTTCCCACTGAGACCCAACTCTGTAAAAAATGAACGTGGGAATTAATAGTTAGGTTAGGTTAAAAAACCTTAACCTTGATTGTTTGAATATTTAAGGTCCTTTTTTCCTTTTATTTTAATCAAGTCCTGTCTGGCAGCAGTGACTATGTTAAGATTCCACTAATTCTGAAAATTCAAAGTTTCGCAATTACTGTATTTCCATTAGATAAGAAATATGATAAAAATTGCATGAGAATGTTTGTTCATACCCAGTTGTTTTCAATAAGTATGATAACAACATAGCAGCAGCAGCTGATGTAAACACATGAAATATATATTAGGGATGGAAGGGTTTATGAAAACCGTCCGAACTGTTCGGTTCGATTCGCGTGTGTTGCCTTCGGTTCATGCGCTGCTCCTTTTTCTCATAGGCGAAGCGTTTACACTCCAGAGCAGAAGGTGGCGGTACTGCGACCAAAGCCAACCACCAGTAGTAAACAAGAACAAGAAGAAGCGAAGCAGCGTAACCAGGTGTAGCAAAAAAAATCTGTTGTTCTGGAGAATTGTGTGGGTATGGCGAGTGGGAAAAAAAGGAGTTGGAAGACGCGCCAGCAGCACTTTATAGGTCTGCTGTATGGGACCACTTTGCATTTAGAGTGACCTACGATGACGGCGGAAAGAAAGTTGTGGATAAAAGTGCAACAGTGTGCAAGCATTGTGCAACAGGTTTTTTTTTTATGCTAACAGCAACATGACCAACATGTTGGTCATGTTAACCCCGAAATCCCACAAACTCCGTCAGAGCTCCGCTCCGCCCCGCTGCGCTCCAGACCGCCTGCACAAAGCAAAGCATACAGCCTCCGCTGTGGCTCCCGTCCGATCCACTCTGAGTTCCTTGGAGATCGTTGCGAGATGATTAAATTCAAAGCAGCAAAACATACGGAAATGATCCAGGGTTTCCGCGGATCATTTAAAAATAATTACAATTCATTATTTTTTGGGGGATTTTTTCATTAATATCATTAATTTTTATCAGATTTCGCTGTAACAATAAACATATACCGAACCGAACCGAAAACCGCGACCACGAAACCGTGAACCGAACCGAACCGTGGATTTTGTGAACCATTCCACCCCTAATATATATCCATATTTCAGCCATGGCTCTAGTGGGCGCCATCATCTTCCGACTGCTTCCTGTTTTCTTTCTCCTATTTTTACACATCTTTTTTTAACGTGACTTGCACAAAGTGAACAAAGTGTTTTCATTGCAGTTTTGAAAAATATAAAAACTGAAAAATCACCTCATCGAAGCGTAAAAACCTTTTAATCGGAAAACTTGTTTTTTTAACTGTATTATTTTTTTTATTTTATTTTTGCATTATTTCCATTTAGCAAATGAATTTTCTTCTTTACATTTTGTAAGGTTAACAGCTAAACAGATTTGCTCATCAAACAGATTTGTTTTCACAGCTGGAGCCTTACGGCTTTTGCTATAATGCTCCATGCGAAAATATACATATATATACAAAAACTAAAACTTACATAAGGCCGTCCTATGTTTTCGTCTCATTAACTATGCGCATCTTCACTTTCAGGGGTATATCTGCATTGAGCTACGGTCTCATTGAAACACAGCTTTCTCCCTAATGTTCTTTGAAAATGGCAGAGGATCGTAAGACAAAAAGTTTCTACAAAGTGTATGAGAAGAAAAGAAAGGCCTCAGAAGAGGCAGATATATCCCAGAATGCTTTGCGCAGAGTAAAAAAAAAAAGCACCTGCAAAACCCTGTACCCGCTCCTGAGAGGAAATGGTGCGACAGCGTGCACATGCCTATTACTAGCAGTGGTGTGAAATGGATAGCATGACAAACTTTACCTGATGAGTAGAAACTTCGTAACTGAGGCATCAGTAGTAAGCCAGACCTGTTCTTTAAGTGTACGCCATCGCGTGAAAGAATATCCCAAAAACACTCTGGTCTTGTTTCTCTCTTCTGAGGCCTTTCTCTACTTTTCATACACTTCGTAGACAATTTTTCTCTTATGACCCTATGCCATTTTCATAGAACCGTGGTGAGAAAGGTGAGCTTCAAAGACTATCTGAAACCTTAGCTCACCAAACATATACACCTGCAAGTGTGCATGCCTAGAAAAAGATAGCTAGCTGGGGGACAAGCATGTAGGACGCCCTTACGTAAACATATCCACTACACTTTTAAGCATTAGCGTACAAATAACACATTTTGCCCAGTTTAGATTAACTTTAGAAATTGTTTGTTTAGAGTGCAGGCACAACACGGTTAAGGGAGGTGCTTCCTGGGGGAACCATGGTTATCTAGTTATTTTGCTAGCGTTCATTAAAACAGGGTAGGGAGGGGCAGCAGAACTAGTATGGATTGCCCAGAGATGCATGATTTAAGCCAAATACCACTTTCATAAAGGAATAGGATTATGATATAGTTAAAAGCTTCAATATTCAGCTGGTGGACCATTTAAATGTTTATGCATTTAGCAGAAGCTTTTATCCAAAGCGACTTACAAAGCAGACAAAATGTTACAGTTCTCTAAAGGAAAAACTGAATCAGAATCAGTGGTGACAGCAAAGAGATAGAGAGAAGTACAGAAAGAGTAGTAGAGGGGTACAGAGCTATGGGTGCAGTACATCCTAACTGGATGGGATGTATCGTAACGTCATAATTTATGCATCACAGTACATCTGTTATTTACACCCAGATGTTATTTTTTTTTATAATAAACAGAAAATCAGATCATCACCAAGATTAAACTCATATTTCACCAGAACACCTTACAGAGGATTGTGCTGATAAATGAGCTGTCCCACTGGGTCTTTACGTCAGAGCTCATCCTCTTTCCGCCTCTGACAGCCCTGCTGTGTAAAGCCCTTGGCAATTTAATTTTGTTGAAAAAAAAAACAGATCACAGACATGAGACGAAACAACAGCTATTCTAGGCAGCAACTTTCTGGTTTAAGAAAGTCTAAAAGAACTATTTAAAAAAATGTGTCAGTAACAATTAACTTTTTACCTCAAGAAGGGGAAAATTGAATGATGAAAATAATTTAACAAACAAAATAACCTTTCAGCACAGCAGCAGTACTGTGTTTCACCGCCTCTGGCTTTTACAACAGTTTGCAGTCTCTAAGGCGTGAATTTAATGATAAACAGTCTTCATTAAGCTGGCTCCAACTTTCTATGATTACTTTAGGCAGATCTGTTTTGCAGGTTGGAGCCTTGTCATGGACCATTTTCTTCAACTTCCACCAAAGATTTTCTGTTTGGATCAAGATCTGGACTTTTTGCAGGCCATGACACTGACCTTACGTCTTCTTCTTCTTCTTCAAAGAATGTAATTGACTTCAAAAATGTTGTCATCCCCAGATATCAATTTAAAGGGAACACCGTTTTTTTTTTACATTGGCCCCTTGATTTTACATTATTACATTATCGTTACGTTATCCGTGCTCGCCGGCTACCATTCATTCTTCCTGTCCGCTGAGCTGCTGCTAGTTTTACTCACATGCCTGGAAGATGTCTAGTGCTGCTACCACAGATGATCTCGCTCTCAAAATGGAATTGAACGATTCAGATTAGCTAGCTGAATGAATAGAAGGGCTAGAGCGTAGCCGGCTGTGCCCCAGGCTGCCTGTCACAACTCCAGTCCGGGGCGCAAATGACGTCATAAACACACCGCTTTGTTTTAAAAAAATATAACCGCAGATGTCTGGGGGACAGTGATTCGCCTACATGTTATGAATGCTGGCGTACCATAAATGATAAATTATGAACAGTTTAGTTTTGCCTTCAAGTCATTGCCCAAAGAAAGACGTTACTTGGATATAATAAAACCGAACAAAGTAAAAAAAACGGTTTTTCCCCTTTAATTGGTGGGATAGGACGAGTTAAAAGAAATCAACATTAACTTGCATTTACTGAGGATGTAATGACTGCCATTTCTCTAGAGATTGTACCTGACATATCATTAATAACTGTGGAAATGTGCATATCTTCTCAGGCAGTTGTCTGCACCAAATAAAAGTCCAAGTATCATCATCCAATATGACTTTCACCCTGTCATTGATTGATTTTATTGATCCCACAACTGATAAACACAGGGTTATTGTACTGGGTGTCAGTACAATAACACCTTTTTACAAACAGGATGTAAAAGAGGAGCTGCTCAGCTCCTCTACAGACTGGTGCATAGGGTGGAAGCTTTGGTTCCATGATGGATGTAAGCCTGGACAGCACCTCCTGTCAGCCACTTCCTCCACAGAGTCCAGAGCAGTTTTTCACCAGTTTTTTCAGTCTCGTTCTGTCCCGCTCTGTGCTTCCATGGGCCCAGCAGATGACAGCGTCATCTACAGTCCACAAATACTTTCTCTAAACCCAATGTGACCTTGCTTTCTTAGGTGTTCCTGACGGATTTCACAGCTTTTAAGTAGGTAAATCCCATTCCTTAAGGTGGTTTCTGTCAAGTGGTGGGGAGGTTTGTAGAGGAGCCAAATGCAGAGATAGAAGCTGAGGTGGTTCCTTGCAGATTTAATGAGAGTGCTGGCAACAGAAGCCTACGTCCAATCAACAACAGGCAGGGAACTCGGGGACCAAAACATCAAGACACTCTGGAGAATACATACACGTGATAGAGAAGAGAATCCAGCCCTGATTAACTTCAGAGGAGGATAATACAACAACTGGAAATTAGAGAATCACCGGTCTTGGAGGATGT